CAGTATCATGGCTGAGTCTCCCTGTATAGGAAGCAGTAACACCGATTTATTTGTGGTGCCATTGAGAATGGAGTGCTGAGCCCAGTATCATGGCTGAGTCTCTCTGCATACTTCCATGGTTGCCTTTCTGTAGAACCAAAACCCAAATTTTCTTGAATAATTTTGATGTTTGAAAACAGGAATAACAATATACAAAAATATTTGAAATACTGTAATAATACATACTATGTACTATCAATCATTCATCACCATTGGTTTGTACAATTAGCAAGTCAACTCTGCTTCTGGAAAATTTGTTTTCTACTTAACATTACAATATATTTGTCTGAATCAATTCAGTCAACCTGTCCCACGTTTGTTCCCAAAGTTTCTTATATTGGTGTTATGCTTGCTTAGCTCACAATAAACCCAGACTGAGGGCCTTATGTCAGCCTAAGACTCATAGGAGATAATTGTTAAGTCCAATTTAAAAAGCTCTGCTTTCCTAAGTGGTTTAGTCACTCTAAAGACTGCTTTCAGTTGTCTGTTCTGTCTTGGTTTATTCTGCTGTTGGTTATGTTTTTCACCTTATTGGTTCTTAATCTGTTCGTCATTTATTTTCTTATGTTTTCCTTATAGATTTTGCTTTTTACCCTCTATGTAATTGTTTAAATGTTTGTGTTACCTTGAGTGTATTGTGCAACACTTTAGTTGACACCTGCTGTCTATTATATATCAATAAAGACGACTTGATTTCTTGTTTTCCCTGTTTCTTAAACTAGAGTTGTCTCCACTGAAATATATTTGTTTTGTGTAATTAAAAATACTTTCCTTCAATAAAACATTAATTCAAGTTTTCACACCCAAAATTACCTGATCCTTCCCCTTAAGCGCCAAGCAACATTTTACCATACAGTCAAACTTGCTTTAATAGAACCTAAAAAGCCAAGTGTGTCCATGTTAATGTACTAAAACGTAACCATGGACAGACCCTAAACCATGAGCGTGTCAAAGTCCAGTGCCCTTATTTTTAATAACGTTTGTAAGTTGAAGTTTAATAAAAGGTACTTGCACCCATATCGAGCAATGGTGTAATCACCCCCAAGACAAAATAAAAATAAAAACTGCCGAACCTCTGTAAGATGAAACATCCCAGGAGAGAACAGTTACATACAAAGGGTCGAGCCAGAGAGAGAATCTCTGCTAAGTCCTAGTCCCAGTGTCACAACACAAAAAGAAGAAAATGATCATATTCAGATTTTGGCAGCCCTGCTGTGGTCCAAATAAAGCAAGAACATGATACACTGAGAATGTCATAAAGCCAGCATAGGTCACACTGCTGTTGCTGCTGTTTATTCTTTACTTACCTGAGCATCACCTTAAGGCCAGCACTTCTTAAGATCCCTGACTGCTCTTGTTTGATCTCTGAAGAATCAAACCACACACACACTTAGAAACCAAGATGAACATTGAAGGTACAACAAAGTTTGCCTTTACAATGAGACCATGTACCTGGTTGAGGAAGAAGACATTAACTGCAGCCCACATGGAGAATTGGCAGACACCTGAGATGCGGGTGTTGGCATGCAGACAGACTTAGCCGCGTAGCCATGGAGATGAACGATCTAGGTAGCTGTCGAAGGTCCGC